AGAAAGTAGGAAAGGGGAGGAGAAAGTAAAGATAGAATCATAGAACTGTAGGGCTAGAATGGACCTCAAGAGGTCATCTAGTCCATCCCTTCTGAAAGTTTATGCCAACCTGTGCAAACGACTGACTTTCTGGCTCACCAAGAGACATCAGAACTCTATAAAGGAGAGCTACCAATGGTAGTTCTACGTCAACATTTTAGGTGGACCACCGTAACTTGCATTAAACTTTCTTCTTTAATGTGATAAATAAACAAACTGTGGTAAATAGAGGGGGTCACAGAATAGGAAAAATTTCCAAAGTGTCTTTTTTGTCAAAAAATTCAAATTTGCAATTTTTTTGATCCGCCCTAGTGATTAATAATTGATAGAACTTAAGTAAAACTCATAGCTGCCAAATTTTGCACAGCCCCAGGTGTGACATTTTATGCATACTGTATGATAAACTAATCTGCATCTGGATTAGAAGATTTTAAGGCCAGAACAGACCACTCCAATCATCTTAATGTGATCTCTTGCACAGCACAGACCATAGAATTTCAACAAGTGGTTTCTTCATCAAGCCCATAAGTTCTGGCTGAGCGAGGGCATAAGTTTTACAAAGAAATCCAATCCTGATTTAAAGACTTCAAGTGATGGAAAATCTACGATATCCTAAAGTATGTAGTTCCAAAGGTTAGTTACTTCCACTATAAAATATGTGCACCTTATTTCTAGTCTGAATTTGTCTAGCTTCAGCTTTCAGCCATTGCATCTTGTTATGCCTTTGTTAGACTAAAGAGCTATCTACTATCAGAAATCTTTTCCCTATATAAGTACTTATAGACTGAACTCTTAACCTGCTCTTCGTTAAATTCTTTAGCATCTCATTGTAAAGCATATTTTCAAGATCTCAGATCATTCCTACTGCACTTTTCTGAACCCTTGCCTATTTGTCAACATCCTTTTCAAAGTGTTGACACCAGAACTGGTGATAGTATTCCAGTAATGGTCTTACCAATGCTATAGAGAGAGGAAATAACACCTCCCTCCTACTACTCGATATTCCGTTGGTTATATATACACACTACCCTAGCATTTGCTTTCTTAGCCGCTGCATCACACTGAAAACTCATGTTTAACTTATCTATCATGATCCCTAAGTCCTTTTCTGAGTCATTGGTTTCCAAAATACAGTCCTACATTCTTGGTTCCTAGACAAATGGCTTTGCATTTAGCTGTAGTAATGCATGTTTGTTCAAGAGATGAGATCTAGATCGCTCTGTAGACCTGACCTGTCATCATTTATCACTGCACCAATTTACGTGTCTTGTGTTTGTGAGTTTTGCATATGTACAAACATCTGCATATGACCATAAACTTTAACTTATGGTCAACACATCCTGCCTCAGTCAGTGGCAAGTGAAGGACAGGAATTGCAGAAAATCTGGCAGCTTGTGGCTAGTGTAGGTGGGAGTGAATCAGAGGAGCTGCTAGGATAGATGGCAGGTAAGCCCCAGATGGTGTCTGAGATGGATGGGTGCTGAACAAACAAAGGGTGTCTGGGGCTAGGTGGGTGCTGGAGGGAGTCTGGGATTGCTGAAGAGGAGGAATCAGGGAAAACTGGGATTCTCAGAGAGGACTGGGTGTCCACTTTTGGAGGGGGAGGGGCTAGGAAAACCTGTTTAGAGGTAATCTGGAGACTCAGAGGAGTTGGCTGGATTCATAGGGGGAAAGCCAGATGTTGGGATAGGTGACTGTCTGGTAGGATGCTGGGGATTCTGGTGCTAGTACTAGGCCCCTCACCTCTGCCCTATGACTGCCTTCTTCTCTTCTTCCCTACCGTGATTCAGCATGGGGAGACAGACAGGCCACATGGCTGCCTGGCTTCAGGCAGAGCAAGCGCTACAGTGATCACAGACAGCCTGTAACAGCAACTGCCGACATTCCTGCAACCCAGATCCAATTGAATGTGTGGCAAATGTTACCAAAATTATTACAGGTGAAGATGTGTAGGATGGAAAGAGCCAAGCTTGACTCTCAGAGCTCAGGCTTTGTTTTCAGGACTGGTGGTTAAAAAAAACCATCTTTTTTTTATTTGTACACTGAGTTCATTTGATAGGGAACTCACTGAAAGACAATGAACATGAAATTCCACGATGTCGTTTTTACAAGGTTACTTTGAAGAGCAGAACAAGACTTTAGGGCTGATCAAAAGTTTACTGAAGCGAACAGAAAGACTTTCATTGTCCCCAATGGTCTTTGAGGCAGTCCATTTAAGAACACATTTCAAAGCAACCTTTGCTGCTCTTCTGTGGCTTCCAGGCTGTTCATTGAAGTGCTGCTGCAACAGAGCCTTTAATGGAATGTGCATTACATTGTCAAGGATACCAGCACGATTACTAAAATAGCTCATTTTTGTGAAAGAATTGGCATATAAGAAAAAGCACCCAGCATTTGGAGGAATGTACACTGATTTTACTAGAGTTTTATTTTCTCATTTTTCTATGTGGAGTAGTGGTCCCAGGTTCCAAGGGGTAGAGCCTCCACAAACAAAACCTCTGAAACTCTCAAATACAATTAGATCCATGAAGTTACAGATCCTAAATGCTGATAGCGCATGTGACATGTTATCTAAGACTTACTTTGCCAGGCTTGTTTGCATCAAAACTGTTTTCTTTAAATTTCTCTTGTAGGGTCTCAGCTAGTCGACACAGCAAGGCACCATTATCCAACTTCTCCATAAAAGTTTCTGCCGTTATCTCCCTACCTGAAAGGCAAGAAGAAAATTAACATGGCAAAAAAGGATGCCTGTGTCAACACAAGAAATGTAAATAATGGATTTGCAAGGAAAATCCATAAACCAAACCCCATTGAAGTCAATGGGAGTCTTTCCATTAACTTCAATGGGCTTAGAAACAAGCCCTAACTGAATAACTCACATTACACTGAGTTTTTATCATTTAGTCTTGCTGCTATTTTCCTGGCACTGAGACACAATTTTTTGGATACATTTTTTGGTTGGATAATTTGATGTTTTCTTTGGGATGGTATATTTTTAAACATTCATCTTGTCAAACAACACATTTTTGTAGAATGAGTCCAACTAATATGCCAGATTCTGTTAATCTTATTTTACCATTTCTAACTATACAGGACCACTTTTTTATTTTAGTGACATTAAAAAGGTGCCAGATTGACAGCGCTGCAGCATAATGTCTTAAATTTATCCTCAGAACAACTACACTGCAAGCTTCACCCTCACTCCCAATAGTCCCCAGCTTTAGAGATGAGAGGTTAATTTCTATTTCATTGTTAATTTAGGATTTGATCCTGAAAGGTGCTGACAATTTTCTGTCAAAATTGTTTTTTGAAGGAAAGTGGAGTTTGACAAAATGAATTTTGTCATTAAATGAGTGTCTACTTTCCATGGAAAATTACCAATTTATTTGGTCTAAAAACTAAATGCTCATAAACAAAAATATTTTGATTTTGGTAATGCCGTCACATTGCTTCATGAGGATTGAAGTTTAGTTGCCTCATTTCCCCATTGATCTCTACAGGCTGGGCTCCCTAGTGGATTATATCTCACATGATACACTGCTTCCAGTCTCCAAGACAGGACATCCTGGTGCATCATAGCAGATGTAATCCAACCAGGGTGCCAAACCTATAGATAAACTTGGAAGGATTAGACTTTTATCAGTAAGTGTCAGTAAACATGGATTTCACTATACACGGACAAAATGATAAAAATATTTCCATTGATAGTAACTGAAATTTACAGATAGGCAAAGAAAGAAAATGCTGCTTGAAAACTTAAGAATTTGATTTAAGAATACTTAATTTGACATGTGTAGTTGACAATTTTGTTTTAACTGTTATAAAACATTTGAATCTCAATGCCTACTGTCATTAAAATAATTATTTTCTGATACCCCCCCATAATTTCTTGCAAGAGTGAAAACTAAAAATAGATAAAAACAGTAAAATGATTTAAAATAATCAATATTACCAATCAAAATTATATAAAATATAAAAATTGAATTCTGCCAAGCTTTGCTATAGAGGAGGAAATGAAGTAACTGAACTTCAGTATCAGGCAGATTAATTGAAACTATAATTAAAAAAAAAAATCAAATATCAGACACAGGTGAGCACAATATTGGAGAAGATCAACATGGCTTTTGTACAGGGAAATCATGCCTCACCAACATATTAGAATTCCTGGAGGGGTTCAACAAATATGTGGACAAGTGCGATCCAATGGATATAGTGTACGTGGGCTTTCAAAAAGCCTTTTGACAAGATCCCTCACCAATGGCTTTTAAGCAAAGTAGGCAGTCATAGAATAAGAGGGAAGGACCTCTCTTCGATCAGTAACTGGTTAATAGCTAGAAAACAAAGGGCAGGGATAAATGGTCAGTTTTCACCGTGGAGAGAGGTAAATAGCGGGGTCCCGCAAGGAAATGTACTGGGACCTGGGCTGTTCAACATATTCATAAATTATCTGGAAAAAGGGGTAGACAGTGAGGTGGCATAGTTTTCAAACAATACTAAATTACTTGAGACAGTTAAATCCATGTCTGACTGCGAAGAGTTATGAAGGGATCTCACAAACCTGAGTGACTGGGCAAGAAAATGGCAGATGAAATTCAGTGTCGATAAATGCAAAGTAATGCACATGGGAAAACATAATCCCAACTGTACATACAAAATGATGGGGTCTAAATTACCTGTTACCATTAAAGAAAGAGATCTTGGAGTCATTGTGGATAGTTCTCTGAAAACAGCTGCTCAATGTTCAACGACAGTTGAAAAAGCTAACAGAACGTTAGAAATCATAATAAGACAAGAAATATCATGCCACTATATAATTCCATGGCATGCCCACACCTTGAGTACTGAGTGCAGTTCTCATCTCCCCAACTCAAAAAAGATATATTAGAATTAGAAAAAGTACAGAGAAGGGCAACAAAAATGATTAAGAGTCTGGAACAACTTACATCTGAGAAGAGATTAAAAAGACGACTCTTCAGCTGAGAAAAGAGATGAGTAAGGGGAGATACGATAACGGTCTCTAAATTTATGAATGATGTGGAGAAAATGAATAAGGAAGGGTTATTTACCTCTTCACATAACACAAGAACCAGGTCACCCAATGAAATTAATAGGCAGCAGGTTTAAAATATAAGGAAGTACTTTACACAATGTATAGTCAACCTTTGGAACTCATTGCCAGGGATGGTGTGAAGGCCAAAAGTATAACTGGGTTCCAAAAAGAATTAGATGAATTCATGGAGGATAGATCCACCAAAGGCTATTAGCCCCATGCACTAGTTGTCCCTAAATCTTTGATTGCATACAATAATACAATGCAGTACATACAATAATAATCATTTTTAAAAACTGTCTCACACTTCCATTAAAAAAAAAAGGAGAGAGGGGAGAAAAGAGAGAGGTTGGATTGTTTTGTTTTGAACCACATTCCCTTTCTTTTTAAATAAATCCCTTTAAAACAAAATAATTTTTTGAAATATTTCATTTTGTATTTTTTGTCCAAAAATATACAAACCAGACCAATTTTAATCAAATTTTAATTTACAAAAGCACAAAAATCAAAAGGATACTACAGTAGGATTTATCTGACCACGGCTTTCAAATTGTTGGAAAGGTTTTAGGTACTTTGACAATAATGTAACACCTTGAAGGAAAACAGTCCCCAGTGTTCTTCATTTTGTAGGCTAAAACCAGAGAGGAATAAAATAAGATCTTTAAAATGTGATTCTCAGATGCAACAATAGACTCACTTTTCTGGTTCAAGTTAAACTTGTTATTTCTGATACATTTATTCTTTCAAGAACATCTGTTTGACGTAAAACCTTTTTTTCCATTCATTTTTTAGCCTTGATTCTCTCCACTGTAGATTTCATATTGTAGTCTCTAGTGTATATAATGACTTCTGCAGGTGGCAGAAGAGCAGTAGCAGCACTGCATCACAATAGAAGTCTGTGCATAACTGACATTATTTTAGTGGTGCATGCAGCTCTTCTGGAGCCAGGAATTAAATTAATAGCCCCCAGACACAAAAAAAGTCAGCATCCCAGTGCCTTAATACCTTCACCACCATGTTTGGCCTACATTTTCTATTGTTAATAATGAAAAATATTTTCCATTTTGTCCCTTCGGTCGAAGGTGCCGAAACTATCAGAAAGCTAATTTAAAGAATGGACATATTAGAAGCTGTTTTATTTTAAAAGGCAGTATTATATGTGAATATAGAACTCTATTATAAGATATATATATTAGTTTCTTTAACCATAACTGAAGTTTTATTGTTTTAAATGCAAACTCTTTAGGATTTTCTATATAGGTAAAATAACCCTCATTTTAAATGCCTATGATGTCCTATGATTTATGGATTTGGCTATTCTCTTGGCTGCTTTTATAAATCTGATTAAAGAAATAAGCTTAAAATATATATTCCTTTTTAAACAGATGCAGAAAAAATGCTTTCTATCTTCTCTTGCCATTTAACAATACAATTACATTAGCAGTTTGATTATTGCATTTTTATATATTAAGCTGGAATATTTTAGTTCTGCTGCCTTTTATGAATGCTGAAAGAAAGTTCTGCATTGAACATCTGTATTTAATGAAAAATATATTAGGTGTTAGCTTTCAATTCACTGTATTTTATGGCCCCAAAAGGTGGCATTTCTTTGCTAAAAGAGACACCATGACATATTTAACAGTTGAAATGTATTGATTCAAATGAGAGTTATGTTCATAGCTAGGGGACAAAAAATGGCTTCATATATTTGGATGGAAGAAACATTAAAATCCATTAAAAAAGATCTTTAAATGAGCTATAATTACAGTAAAGCAGTTGCAATGTGCATATAGGATGGTAACAACATAATCTATAATAAAAACTAATGCTAGAAGCATGCAAACAGGAAAATAAAGTCTTCTTCAATATAGCAATCATTGGGACTATTTGCATGAATTAGGATAGCTGCTTACATAAACAAGGGTTATTTAGATCAGGCCCCAGATCTTGCTGATGCTGGATTGGGTTTTGCAATTCAGTTTTGAGAATCTTTAGCAGTCAAAGCATGGGAGCCAAGGGGCTCTGGCTGCTATAGTAGGTTTTGAAATGTCACTCCAGCCTATGTACTTACAATAAGATTATCAATCATTAACTTTTAAAAACACAAATAAATATAATGTCATAAACTAAAGGTTTGTAAATTGAGACATTTGGACCAGATTGTCCGGTCTGGCCGAGCTGTGTTTTGCACTGGAACTAATTCTGGGGCCAGCTGGAGACCATTTCTGCTCCCAGCATAACCAGGAACAAAGTAAGGGCTCCTCTAAGGCACACCAGCAGGAACTTCTCTAGTAATCAGAGACCACTGAAGTGCAAGCAATTTGGCCTGCACCTTTTCACACCTATTCTACCCCAACATGCCCCCAACATCAGGGAGCTGAGAGCAGGTGGTGTAGATACATATGTGAAATCTCCAACTGCCTCAATAGGACCAGAGCAGCAGAAAGCAGCCAGTACTGCTGCCAAAGCCCTAGCCCTCTGTCTTCATCATCACCTACAATCTAATATATAATGCTGAAGCTGTAAAGTTTTTTTGATTGTCCACTCATTCACACCTGGGTAAATCAGGAGTAACTCCATCCAAGTGAGCTGATGCAAAATTAGTGTAGGAGAGGAGGATCAATCTCCATGTGGAATATAAATCACATTAATATGCT